GGATGGGTATGGGGTGACTACCGCCCACAGGATGGGTATGGGGTGACTACCGCCCACAGGATGGGTATGGGGTGACTACCGCCCACAGGATGGGTATGGGGTGCATAATAAACATATTAAACTAAAACTGACTTGGAGTTAATAACTATATTTGTGGAATGTGAAATTCATCGACTTCGTTAATCTCGCTGTATGGTGATGTTTGTAACTTAGTGATGTTTGTAACTTAGTGATGTATGTAACTTAGTGACGGGAACTTGGTGATGGTAACAGCAAGATGGCATTCATAGTAACACACTGATAATTATGTCAGCAACTGTGTAGGTTTAAAATGATGAATAACCAAATTATTCTAATGGTTTGTAGATCAAACAACAGCCAGCCTTGTAGCCAGCCTTGTAGCCAGCCTTGTAGCCAGGCTTGTAGCCAGCCTTGTAGCCAGCCTTGTAGCCAGCCTTGTAGCCAGCCTTGTAGCCAGCCTTATAGCCAGCCTCTCAACTTTTTAAATGTATTTTTCGTTTTGGCTTCATGCTAAGAAGGTTCCGTGTGTGTGTGTGTGTGTGTGTGTGTGTGTGTGTGTGTGTGTGTGTGTGTGTGAACATTAAAATGGTATAAAATACCGACAGGTTGTTAGGTAAGACACACATGCAACAGTTAGGTATCTTTATTTCAAAACGTTTCGCCTACACAGTAGGCGTAGGCTTCTATCAACTTTTCTGTACTCGACTGAAGAAGCTTACTGTGTAGGCGAAACGTTTTCGAAATAAAGATACCTAACTTTTGCATATGTGTCTTTGTAAACAAATTAATTACTTATCAAACAAGTCAGTGAGAAAACAAACCATAAGGTCGAGTTGCTATGATTCACTTGAAACCAGATTTTATTCTTTGGAATTTTGATATTTCCAATATTTAAAAAAAAAGCGATCAACTTTTGTTAATTTTTACCTGCTGTTTATGTAGAGTAATAGCAGATAACTGGAGTGTAATTTTTGCATTGTAAAGAAACCGTGAATATACAGGCCGCCAGGTGCGAGAATTGAATCAATCTGAAAAAAAAAAGTAATACGAGGCGAGCAAAGCCACGACTGTTATAGACAAGGCTGCTCAACCCACTTGTACAATACCCTTGTCTAGTTAATTTGTTTAGTACACAATGTGTAGCAGGTGTGTCGAGGTTGGTACATGTTGGTGGCGCCTCTCAGTGTCCTCCACCCGTCCTCAAGGTCAACTGGAAGTCAGTGTTGAAAACAGACGTGCTTAAAAAATTGGTTATTTATATAAAAAAAGGAAGAACACAAAGGGCCCTCATTCTGAAAGCTATGCGATGGTTGAGCTAAAAATATATAAACAAGCGGTAGTTAATGTGTAACCACCCAAGCACCACCGTTGTCATTTATTTTCCGATAAATATCATTTGAAACACTAGGTTTTGTCACCGTTTATTGACTTATAAATGCAATCATGATTTTTAGAGAACGTTGGTAGTTTTATAGTTTGAGGAACATTGAAACCTATAATGGTGACGGAAATTTTCTTCCACGCTCTTCCTAGGTTCTCGAGCGATAACTTGAGAAAGCCTCTTCTGATCGGCTTCAAACTTTCATCATTGGTGTATCTTAGAGAAAGGTTCAGATTGTTATTGGGCCATGTAAGTGCCAATCTGCCAATTTTATTGGCTCAAATAGCGCATCAGTTTCCATGTAATGGCTTGAGGCCGTCTCTCTTGATACACTTACAACACAAATGTATCCAGATTACGTGGCTCGGACTGTAACTCAACTGTAGGTGCTAATTTGCAAAATTAATTTTAAAAAATGCTAAGCATTTTTTTTATTTTAATAACCTGAGAAAGCCCATTCTGAACGGCATAAATGTTTAAAGCAGTTATTAACTTTTTTTTTCGGGGGGGGGGGGGGCAGTGACCCAAAATGCTGTCGAGAATTACAAGACGACTTATAAGTTCATAACATAAATTTACAAGAAAGTGAAAAAAAAAAATCTTGATTCTAAATTTTTTTGACAAAGGTAAATGGCAGTACTTTATTACTGTGACTAATAAACACAAATAATACACGTAAGAAATATAACACCTGTTCTGTAGGTGGATTGTGTTATGGTGAGAGGCGTGTCAGTAATTAATGAGATCCCTGGCGCTTTAAACAGTTCAAATCAGGACGATTTAGATGACATCCTGCATCTTACGTCATACTCTGGTTACAGACTGTTACTGTACTTGGTCTTAGTAACCGTGAGTGTTGAAAATCCTGCCTCACACAGGAAAGTTGTAACAAAGAGGAGGAGCATTTTCAGGGCTTCACCTCTAAGAATCTCTGCTTTCATTTGTAAACTTTGATCCAAAATGAACTCGGTGATTTTTTTTTCTTTTGTTTTTGTCTTTTGAAATATAAGTGAAATGTTTCATTATTCTGAATCTCAATGAGCTGCTTCTGTAATTTGGAGATGTTAGAAATATCGTCAGGTAGATTTTTAGGCTCAGTGTTGAAGGGATTTATTACACAGGTATATTTCATTATTGTCGGGAATATAGTGATCATAATCTGTGATTAGCTTGGAAATATGTTTATTTATTTATTTATTTAGTAATTTTAGCATACATACAGAGGTACAAAAAAATACAGGTAAGAGCAGCATGCCAAAGCCACTTATATGCATAGCATTACGGGCTGGCTTAAAATTAACTTAAGATTAACTAAGCGATGATGAAATCAGTGATAAAACATTATTGTAAACAGATAACTATAAAGCACAAATGAGTATTACAAAGACAGGTCATGTGGTTGTATGCATTACTGTACATTCAGTCGAATGGAGTATTCAGTTAGGTAGTGTATTTAAAAAAATAACAAAGTTAGATTGGGTCCTAGGTTTAACATTTGTGTGATATAATTGTGAGTAACATATAGGATATACAATTTATAAGGTTCAGTTATTCAGTATTTATTTGGTTTTGAGTAAGTGATCTTTGAGAAGAGACTTGAATTTATAAACAGGTAGTGTTTCTTTTATATTTACAGGTAATGAATTCCAGATTTTAGGGCCTTTTATGTGCATTGAGTTTTTGCATAGCGTGAGATGGACACGAGGAACATCAAAGAGTGATCTGTGCCTTGTGTTATGGTCATGTGTTCTGTTGAGGTTGGCAAGGAGATGTTTGAGGGGAGGGTTAATATCAGAGTTAAGTGTTCTATGTATGTCATAGGTGCAGTAATAAGTATGGATGTTTTGTATGGTGAGTAGGTTGAGTGTTTTGAATATTGGTGGAGTGTGTTGCCTGTAGTGAGAATTTGTTATTCTAACTGCAGCCTTTTGTTGGGTAATTAGTGGTCTGAGATGGTTAATTGTTGTTGAGCCCCATGCACAAATTCCATAGGTGAGATAGGGGTAAATAAGAGAGTGATAAAGGGCCAGGAGGGCTGACTGTGGAACATAGTACCGTATCTTCGATAGTATGCCTACAGTCTTGGAAATTTTCTTAGAAATTTGTTGTATATGTGTATGAAATTTGAGTATTATCAAGGTGGATTCCTAAGAATTTTCCCTCTGTTAGCTTTGTGATGGGTGATCTGTTTATCGTTATGTTAAGAGGGACATCTGTAGCTGTTACCAAACTGAATGAAGTAGGTTTTGTCAATGTTTAGTGTAAGTTTGTTAGTCCTCATCCAGGTAGATATTTTCTGTAATTCGGTGTTTACAGTATTGGCTAGCGTGACTGGGCTCGGGTGAGAGAAGACGTATGTAGTGTCATCTGCAAAAATGTGTGGGTTTGAGTAATTGCGAAGCATTTGGTAGGTCATTTATGTATAGGAGAAAGAGAAGAGGGCCAAGGACACTTCCCTGTAGGACACCAACTGTAATTGGTTGAGCGGAAGAGCTTGCCCCATTTGCGTACACATATTGGCTTCTGTTGCTGAGGTATGACTTGAGGTAGTTGAGGGAGTGCCCTCTTATACCATAGTGTGACAATTTTACGTGGAGCAAGTCATGGTCAACTGTATCAAAAGCTTTACGTAAGTCAATGAAGATCCCCAGTGGGACTTCTTTTTTCTCTATTGCAGTGTATATATGTTCTAGCATGTGTATAATAGCATCATTAGTATTTTTATTAGGCCTGAATCCAAATTGGCAGGGGTTGAGAATGTTTTGGGAGATGAGGTAGGAGTAGATTCGTTTATGAATTAATTTTTCGAAGATTTTTGAGAGAGGGTGTAAATTGGATATTGGCCTATAGTTATTCAACTCTGTTTGGTCTCCTCCTTTATGGATCGGGGTGACCCTTGCTATTTTGAGAGCTGTAGGGAAGGTGGAGGATTCAATGGATTTGTTAAAGAGTGTTGCAATGATTGGTGATAGTACTTGTGACACTTTTTTGTATATAAAGGGTGGTAAGGTATTTAAATCTCCTGCCTTGTTTTTTAGTGCGTTGATAATAAGGGAGACTTCGTATGGGTTAGTCGGAGCTAGGAACAGTGTGTTCGGGTAGTTGCCAGTGAGGTAGTCATTTGGTGGGGTATCTGAGCTTGGGATTTTATTGGCAAGGTTTTGTCCTATAAGTGGAGAAGAAATCATTGAGTCTGTTTGCTGTTTCTGTTGGTGGGAGTTGGGGTTCATCTGATTTTGCTAATTTTATTTCGCTATTTCGTGATATCTTTTTTGTTCCCAGAATTTCTGATAGGGTTTTCCAGGTCTTTTTTATATCACCTCGTAAGTTGGATAATCTGTTCTCATAATACAGTTTTTTTTTGCCCTTCTTATCAGGCTGGTTAGGATTGACGAGATTGATTGATTGACGATAAAACTTTGGATCTGGATAAGCGAAAATGTTTCGTCTTCAAGAAGAGCATTGAAGGATGGAAATTCCAAGGTAAAAAAAAAATATCGGTAAGATAAGCCATTTGCATCATTCATTTTGAATATCTCAGTCTCGTTCCGCATTTCAAGCAATGGTTGGAGCACCTTCCCTGGTGACACTCGCTTACCTTCAGTGATAACAGAGATGTACATGTTCTGAACCAAAATTAGAACACGTCTGAATGAAGATCCTGGAGTTAAGAGCTCCATCTTCAATGAAATTTACGACCTGAAGGACCGGCATCACATTCTACAACTCCCGTGACAACCTCTGAGAAGCGAGTGTTTCACCGTGAAGGAGACAGTGAACAGTCGGCACTGGCGGATTTTCCTCCTTCACTCTAGCAGTGAAACACTGACGTACTCCTAACATTGCTGGTGCACCATCACAACAGACACTAAAACAGATTTCACCGCAACCTTCTTCCTTGAAGAACGAGTCTACAATCTTTAAAATATTTTCTCCAGTTATACTGGTGTGTAATTTCTCTTCATACCTTCTGGACTCTGATATTATTCGGAAACCTTAAGTTGTATATCGTCACTAACATTGTAGAGTCGGTCTTTCATATCACACTTCATGTTCTTAATTCGTTGACTAATTGTGTCATTTGACAGAGGTATCTCTTCGCTTCCACAGACTGTCCGTACCATCTCGAAAACTGCTGGTTTTACCAGTTGCTCATCAATGGTGTGTGGCTTCTTTACTCTTGCAGTTCTGCCATACGAGCTGTGAAGCGAGTGTTTCTTGCCGCACAGATTAAGCAGCTCTACTGGGAAAAGCATCCAGTCTCTCCCGTTTCAGTTCTTGTTCATTTACTTCAAAGAAACTACGCTTTCTGTTCACAGATGCACTGTGTTTTCCTTTTAAGTTCCTTCTAAGTGCCTTTTAAGCTTTTTCTTCTTGAATAACTCACTGCACAAGACTTCCCCCACAAATACCACATTGTGGTTTAAATACGTCACGTTGAGTGGTGTGCGTGAAGCCAACATTAAGATATTCCTCGTACCGTTCTGAGGAGTCTACTGGCTGGGCTGGATCTGCTCCTGTTGCCACCTCCCTTAGTAAGAGCATAGGAACCATGTTGAGTTAGGCATAAGCATTAACCACTGGGCGTCTGCATTGTAAACTGAATTATTTGCCATTCTACTGGCGTTAGTTAACTTATGACACTGAGTTTGATTATTACTAGTTCTGTGTCATCACTGAAGGCTCTTGACTCATATAATGACTAACATGCTCATTAGAGAAGCCAGGTATAGATACTCAAAAATACGTTAAAAAGGAATTCGTGTACAGTTGTTATGGATTTTATCGTACATTGGATTACTTCTTCATGATAAGTTGAGAAGTCAATCAAAAAAGTAACCTGAAGGAAAATGTGGAATATAACGTTGATGTATCTGTGTCTGGCATTAGGAATAATATTAGGAAAGAAGTGAATAATGAAACAATGTTATAGGAATGCAGTTAGAAGCCTGAGTACATCTATCACCCACTATAACAACATGAACGTAGATAAGTACGTTTATGGATTAACTTGGAATATGAACAGACTTATTGACTTGGCTTAGGCTTGGTTACAAGTACTTCTGGCAGTTTGGCAGACACACACATAATTAAACCAAATGCAAAATATGTGGTCAACCCTCTGGTCACTATCTTGAACACTATGTACCTAATTGTCTACTTATTGAGGAATACAGAAACACAGTATAATCTATGTGATATGTCAAGAAATCTTAAATTTGTTTGCAACAAATAACTGTAGACAAATCCAGATGAGCTCCTGTTAACCCCTATTGGGGTCTAGGTTCTAGGCCTAATGTGTAAGCATATGCTCTTGCACTACCGTCCACAGGATGGTTGTGGTGTACACAATAAACTAGCTACTTCGGCGACAAAGTCAAAAATCTAATCTGAAGTAATCAACCTTAAGAATACAGAAACAACTACTTAATACTAATTATGAAAAATCACCGGAAATAATACTAGTAGCTATAATAATAATAATAATAATAATAATAATAATAATAATAATCCCTAGGCGACCCATTCAGATGGCTCACGACCCAATTTTGGGTGGCAACCCAGGGGTTAAGAACCACTGCTTTAAAGGCTGATGCACTTCACAAGTGGAAATACAGATATAAATTTGGAAAAATATTAATACAAAAATGAGGTTTATTGGACTGCGTGCAAGAACTGAGATTCCTCTTCTGATCGGCTGAAGTATTGGCAGATCTTTCTGAAAGGAAGATTCAAATTCATGTTGGGTTAGGAAAGTTTCAGTTTGGTATATTTATTAAACATTGGTATTGGTTTCCATAATTGGAGAACGTTTCTTCTGATCAGTTTCAGAGTCTCAACGTTGGTGCTTCATCATAAGATGTGGTTTGACTCTGTACTAGTCTAATTTTATTGAAGCAATTGCGAAAATTGGGTTACTGGGTTGTGTGATTACTTGTAAATTCTTTTACTGATTGTCTTCGAACATTTAATGCTGACTGTGTGAATGGAAAGGTATGATAGAAAGAAAAAGTCGTTGCTATAAGCCAGTTTGTCCAAGAAATCGTGGAGTATCAACCTATATATACCTCAGGACGCGGGTGTATATTCCTCCTTCCACAGGTATCTTCACTATGAGATGAGTCTTTGTAGGTTGAGGATTGATCACTCACATCGAGGTTACCTGCTTGGAGTCTAGCTTCTCTCTCCACAGCTTGCAACATCTGACCGCAACCTGTCTTCTTAACATGCCTTTACCTCTGGTCATACCAGATTAGATAAGTTACCGGGGCCTCTGTAGACTCAGTGACATTAGAGGAAGATTTTATAACGAATAAATGTAGGCGTTACACAAATAACCCGCACATAAAAGACAGAAGCTTACGACGACGTTTCGGTCTGACTTGGACCATTGACAAAGTCGGACCGAAACGTCGTCGTAAGCTTCTGTCTTTTATGTGCGGGTTATTTGTGTATCGTTCCAGTCACGGTATTGTGCCTTTTTGTTATTTATTTATTAATGTTGGCGTTTAAGCAAATTTCCTAACAATTTGCTTACTACTTGTTTTAATAAACCTGGTGGGTTATAAATTTTGTGGATTTTAAATTAATTGTATGCTATTCAGGTGTGATATTTATTTGTACCGCGTTCTAAACCTCTTGGTTCTATCACCCTGTAAATACCACATTCTTTCCTACTACCCCTCCCCTACTCAATTTTCCCGTCCTTCCAGATGGTCTTGAGGTAAAGATGATGTGTCTAGTCATCATCTTGGCAGCCACCCAACACCTTCGTCGACATCACGTGGAGAAACCGACCAGGTGTTTGTCAATACATGATCCCCGGGGCTGAGGCGAGGTTCACTGACTTTCTCTAACCCGTCAACACTTCCACACTTATGAAGTCTTTTCACACATACTCATGATCTGAAACGAACCAACGTAATAGAAAAATAGTATCAGTTATACAGAGTTATGTCAAGTTAATTTGTGTGGGTTAGCATAAAAAAGCAGTACTTTAGTAAGCCTATTGGCTTATGATGGGCAGATCTTAATTTTACCCGGTTATTCAACAACAATACTTGATACTTGGATCCACTCTTAACACTAGTGTTATCAAATCACTACTTTACGAATCCATCTTTAGCATGTATTAACACTCAACACTTTATACTTATCTCTTGAACCAGTTTTCAACAACACTATGATTTGGATATTTCAAGGTTAGCTTTCCTTACAATATTTGTAATATACACAGTGCAACTGGTCTTTCTTACATTCTAACATATTTATCAAGGTGTACGGCTTTCCTTACTTTTAATATATCAAGGTACGGCTTTCCTTACATTATAATATATCAAGGTACGGCTTTCCTTACGTTATAATATACCAAGGTACGGCTTTCCTTACATTATAATATATCAAGGTACGGCTTTCCTTACATTGTAATATATCAAGGTACGGCTTTCCTTACATTATAATATACCAAGGTACGGCTTTCCTTACATTATAATATACCAAGGTACGGCTTTCCTTACATTGTAATATACAAGGTACGGCTTTCTTTACATTATAATATACCAAGGTACGGCTTTCCTTACATTGTAATATATCAAGGTACGGCTTTCCTTACATTATAATACACCAAGGTAAGGCTTTCCTTACATTATAATATACCAAGGTACGGCTTTCCTTACATTATAATATACCAAGGTACGGCTTTCCTTACATTATAATACACCAAGGTACGGCTTTCCTTACATTGTAATATATCAAGGTACGGCTTTCCTTACATTGTAATATATCAAGGTACGGCTTTCCTTACATTGTAATATATCAAGGCACGGCTTTCCTTACATTGTAATATACCAAGGTACGGCTTTCCTTACATTGTAAATATCCAAGGTACGGCTTTCCTTACATTGTAATATACCAAGGTACGGCTTTCCTTATATTGTAATATACCAAGGTACGGCTTTCCTTACATTGTAATATACCAAGGTACGGCTTTCCTTACATTGTAATATACCAAGGTACGGCTTTCCTTACATTGTAATATACCAAGGTACGGCTTTCCTTACATTGTAATATATCAAGGTACGGCTTTCCTACATTGTAATATATCAAGGTACGCTTTCCTTACATGTAATATACAAGGTACGGCTTTCCTTACATTATAATATACCAAGGTACGGCTTTCCTTACATTATAATATACCAAGGTACGGCTTTCCTTACATTATAATATACCAAGGTACGGCTTTCCTTACATTATAATATACCAAGGTACGGCTTTCCTTACATTATATACAGTAGTTTATTAATATACCAAGGTACGGCTTTTCTTACATTGTAATATAATATCGGGGTTGTTATTAACATAAGATTTAGTTATATGTTTATAATATTGGTACAGAAAACAGTAATATGTTTTAATCCGTAAGAAGTACTCGTTTAATTCCAATGTCTAAATGATTCTTTTGGTACGAGAAAAAAGGCTCGAGTAGAAATTTAATAGTTTTTAAGCCAGAATACATACTACGTTTTATTACGTTAAGTGTCTAAATAAATTCTTAATGGAAACCAGAGCAAATGTTCAGTTCGGATCCTTGCAGTTATGAACGCCACTTGTTTTATTTAGTATATTTAAAGGTCAGTATAAACATTGTTATTATTAGTATTAGTAAGGTTCGTCAGGAACA